CGTCTGTGGGCTGGTGGCCTGAGCTGAGTGACAGGTAGGTGGGGGCCTGGGTCCCCCCCGGCCCCTAGGTCTTTGCTGGAATAAGCGCTCGTCTGCAGAGCTCGGTTGAGAGCAGAGGAAATGAGCGACACACAGGGATAGTCCTTCTGTGACATTAGCTGCTGCTTTCAAATGATCGGATTTACCTTCTGTTAATGGGTCCTTTAAAAAACGTAATCGAGTGAGAAGGACTTTTAAAGATTTTTCTGTGGCCTGGATACACCCCAGAAGACTGGAAATTACCAGTTCACTGCAAGGAAAATAGGGGCCGCCTCAACGGAGAGATTCCTGTGGAAACCCCTCAGGAGCAGGCTCAGGAGAGGCCCACCTCCTGCCTGGTTCCCACCCCTGCCCCGACCCATGACCTCCAGACCTCCTGACCCCTTCCACTCAAGGGAAAGGAGCCACCGCCTTTCCACTCCGAGCGCCCCCTGCTGGGGACTTTCCTGGACGGCCCTGTCACCGGTGGGGAAGACGCCGTCCCTGAGAAACCCCAGCGCTTCCTTTGAAGCTGGCTGCCTCATTCGGAGCCTGGCTTCCTCGCTGGGGAGAGCGTGTGGGAAGAAATGGCCTTTCAACGGACAGTCTCGTCGCCAAATGTTTTCACCAAGACATGCTGTCTCCATGCCCGGCCATTCATTTTGCAACATTTATTCTAACGGCGTTCATGAATCAATGTGCTTTTGGAAAAAAGTGCTATTAATATCATTTGCAAAAGAAAGTGTAACGCATTAGAAAGACTTCCAGTGGGCAGCGCCGGGATTTTCCGTGCGTGTGCTGTCTAGAGAACCTCGGCTGGGACGCTGGGTGATTGATCTGCTTAGAGGATGCGCGGCTTTCAGGAAGTCACCGCACACGGGCGCGCCTGTCCGCAGCGATGGCCACAAATTCACTTGCGTTTGGTGGTGGTGTAGCGGGCTTTCCTGCCTTCCTCACGGGCTGGTGGCGCCGGCATTTTTTCTGGGGAGGCCACTGACTGAAACGACTGCAGGGGAAATAAAACCCACATCATTGCCTGAGACAGACAGGCTGCAGCCCTTGCATAGGCAGACTGAGCCACAAGGGCGCCCCAAGTTAGCCAGGAGCTGTTCCGATGGGCCCTGTGCCGCTTTCCCAGGCTTACCCCCCCCCCCCCGGCCCCTGCCTCTGGAATGTGTGCTGCAGCTCAGGGCACGGCTCGTTAACGCAGATCCATTTCCTTACGGTAAATAAATCGGTTGCCACCTACCCTGGGCTGAGTGTGCCTCTGGTGGTTTGTCTCCGTGAAAGGAGATGGGTCCCTGAGCAAGGCGGCCTGTTGGCTCCAGGTGATGCTGCGCCCCGGGCGCTGCCTGGCTCAGTGAGCGAGTCAAGTCTCGCTCATCAGCCTGCTCCTGGAGACTCAGCACCACCCGCCCCCAACCGGCGGCTGGCTTGGCAAGGGGCCTCGCCGCCTCGTTCCCCTCCCCTCCGTGCCGCCTCCTAGGGCGACATGCGCGCGCCCAGCATGGTGGGGCACATTCTGAGTTGGACCCCAGGGCTGTGCGCCTGCCTGTGCCACGCCCACAGCAGCCCCCAAAGAGAGCGGCTTGGAGGCAGGCCGCTGGCCCGGGCCCGCCTCGCCTCAGGGCTCTGCGCTGACGGACACCTTGGCACCCTCGCAGCATGGGCGGGTCACCCAGAGCAGGGGCGGGTCACCCAGAGCAGGTGCGGGGGAGGGGCGGGCCTGAAGTCCAAGGAGCAGGGCACAGGTCCTGGAAGCCAGTGGCACACTGTCAGAGTGCCCCAGCATGGCACGGTGGTCTTTGTTGTACCGCGTGGCTCATAGGAGAGGGCCTCTGAGGCAGCGGCGGCAGGAGGTGGCTCGCAGGCGGCTACAGAACGTGACCCCCGGCAGCTGTGGGGGCGCATTGGGTCCCACAGCCATTTCTGCACCGGAGTTACACGCCTCCCCGTGGAGAGGCAAGCGCAGTGGGAGCCACCTTGCAGCCGCCGGTGGCCTCCTCTCCTTACAAGTAGACCCTGGTCTTGTGGTGACTAGGAAAAGGGGTGCAGGTCTCCCCATCCCGGGCCCCTGGCGGAACTCTCCCCTGGGTCAGGGCTCAGTCCTAGGCTGGCCTCTATGGGAGGGGCTGGCTGCTCAGCCCAGCTGCGGTGTTGGCGCTCCAGCCAGGGGCGGGGCGAGGGGGAGGGGGGGGTGACGGGTCCCCTGAGGCCGGGGCCGGGTGGGTGGGTGACTGGAGGGAGGCTGTCTCCGTGCAGCCCTGGCAGCACTGTCCCTGGACACATGGGCTTCAGTTGTGTGTCTGAGGTTCTTTAAAAATTGGGTGTCAATCAATCAGCGGTCCTTCTGTGAGCCTGTGCGGTAGCCGGTCTGTGTCCTCAAAAAGCCACCCTGTCGTCCTGGCAGCTGAAGCCCGGGCCAGAGTGTGTGCCTGGTGTGGTAAGGGGGGTCCCCGCGGAGTTGGGCCCCAGCCACCCAGCCAGCAGTGCCCCCGCTGGGGGTGGCCTTGTCTCGCAGCCTCGGGGAAGCTCTCGGCAGCCTGGACGACTTCCCAACTCACCGCGGCCGCAGAGTGAGTTTAACAGCCAAACAAGCCATGATCTTTCATTTTTTTTTTTTATTTAAAAATTAGTAAAGAACTTAGTGACAAGTATAATAATTTAACCTCTATACGTAATGCCATGGGTACATGTACATATGAGGGAACACTGGACTTTTTACCTTGGTTTTTGTATCAAAGTTTTTACTTAAATCTTTCTAAGACAAGACTATTGTCTGTGAGTGACATGTTGCCATTAAACTATGAAATGGCTTTGAAAATAGTTTCTTTATTCTGAAGACAGTTTTTTAAAAATGGGAATGAGTCTAACTTCAGTCTCCTTTTTGACTCTCAAAAATTTATTTCTGTCTAGACTGCTTTCAAACAGGGACGTTACTTTGTTTCCTAGCATGTCCTCTTGTGTAGACAGATTTATAGAACTAATTAGAATGCTGCTTATACCCTTATTTCAATTCATGGAGAGAGTTGGGAATTCTCAAAACACAAGGAGAGAGAACGCGTTGCAAACATTATTATAACTTTAGTTAAAAACAGTATAAAATACACAAAATGCGTTTTTTAAATTTTATGTCAACACGACACAATTGCACTTCCTTCATGAGACGGGCTCATGGTGTCCGTCCTTCTCTTGCACAAAAATATTTCTCACTTCTTTTTACGGATACCCAAGGATTTGTATGCTTGTGCAGTGTTTCCACCAAAGATGTGTGTTTTTCTTTTAATGACAGCATACGTCTGCGGAATAGCGTGAGTAACCCCCAAAGAATGTTAGCATGAAAGACTCGCCTGTTTCAAGCTCGGATCTGATGGCTGATCACTACTAGGTCCTTGGAGAATCAAAGCACTTGGAACTAACGCAGATTCGCTGTTGAGTCAGGAGGAAAACGCCAGGCAAGAAATAGCTCTGCTCTGACCAACGCAGGGAGAGGCCCCTCCGTGGGGGCCGCTTTGGCATCGACTCCATGACATGTGTGGGTCAGCACTAGACTAGACGTGAGACTGTGGACAGAAACGTGAAGACTAGGTTTTCTCGTAGGTGCACAAACTATTCAAAATTTAAGTTGTACCAAAAAAAAAAAAAAAAAAAGGCAAAATGAGGTCCCTACTTCCTATTGTGAAAAGCAACAATTAATAGACAAAGTTCATCCAGAGACCGGGGGTTTGGATTTCTAGAAAAAGATACTTGCAAAGGGATGAGTGAAAAAATAAAGGAACTAAAGTTTATATTGCAATGTGTAATCAAAAAAGAACTCAAGTGTCACTATTTATTTAAAAAATACCTAAAAACATTTGATTCACAGCTTTCCCCTACGTGATTCATTTAGGACAACTTTTACTAACAGGTTCAATGCAGGCGTCACTAAGTTTGATGGCAGCAGCTAAGCAAGACACACTGTCCCCATGGAGGTGGCCTGGTCTTCCCCGGGTGCTGCAAAGCACAGCACGCGGCATGGAGCACCGGCCTGCGCTCTGGGTGACGAGCAAGGTCTCGGGGGTTGGCCTGCAGAGACACGCCCGTGATGGGTGGGTGACTGTATAATCTATTGTGTACCTCTACGTGTGTTTTGGAATTCTTGCCAGAATTGATCGCCTGGCCTTTGGGTATCAAAAGATTAAAAATGAGATCTAAGAAAGCTGAGTGTCCAATAGCTCCGACCCTGTCAACTTGCAGTGGTTAAAGGCATGGCCTGCCGTGGGGGTCCTGGCTGCCGGCCGTTTGGAAAGTGAGCGGTCAGCGCGTCGCAGGTCTGAGACGGGGCGAAGGCTGCTTCTGGGCGCCGCCATGCCGCGGGCACGGGGTCCCCGGGCGGAGCGCTACAGCACATGAAGGCAGATGTACATAGGGTCACATTGTAGAGAATAGTCATGGTCTCCGACCACTTGAAAAAATTGTGCTTTCTCCGGAATTGGATGTGCTGCAAACCACGCTCGGCCCCCGCCCCGCCCCTTTGCCAAATGAAACGTAAAAATGAAGTCCTTGGCAAACATAAGGCTTGCGTTTTCTTCTCGTTATTCTTTAAAAAAAATAAAGGCTTGAAAGTAATCGTGAGTTGTAGCTGTGTGCAGAGCGGCGGCCTGCCGGTTGCAGGCTGGTGACGTGGGGCGCGCCCGTCTGGGGTGGGGGAGCTTTTCCCGGGTCCTCTCTGGCTACCTCAAGTTTCGTTTTGGGTGTTACACCCACGTCCGGACGTGGCACAGGGCAGCTGGCAGGCTGTGACACCGGGCAGCTCGCTCCTGGCAATCACCTGTGAGTACCAAGGCCTTTTTGGTAAGCGGGGGGGGGCGGGGGGGCGGGGGGGGGAGGAGACCCGGGCGCCCGCGTCAGCCCCAGCAGCTAGATCCTGTTCGGTTGGGAAGGGACAGGCATGTCCCCAGTGGGTGTGAAGGGCGGTCTGGAGACGGCAAGCCCCACGAGTCTTAGAGGAACCAGAGTTTCCAGCGTCCGTGCTTTTTGGATTCCGTTTTGGATTTTTGCTTGGGGGTCGCGGAGGACGTCTCCTGCGAGTAAGGCGAAGGGGCGACCTGAGTTTCCTCAAACGTGTGGAGCTTCCTCAGGACGGGCTGGAGTTTGTCTTCTTGCTGCTTGAAGTCCAGCTCCACACTGGAAAGAGAGCAGAGGGACGGAGTTAGTGCTCGGTCTTGCGTGTGTGAAGGTCCCCCCGGAGGGATGCAAAATTTGGGTGACACCCCCCCAGGGGTAACGGTCATTCCTATTGTGTTTATCCTGTCATTTGTGGGCTCCGTATTAAGCACCTGGCTGTAATGTATTTTAGATCCACACCCCGTGACCCTTGAGCAGTGTGGAGTCAGGGGTCCCGGTCCCCCTCGTGGCTGAAAATCTGTGTATAACTTTGGACTCCCCGAAACCTTAACTGCTAATAGCCTACTGCTGACCGGAAGCCTTACTGAGAACGTAGTTTCCTAACACCTCTTTTGTACGCCCAGTGGATTATATGCTAGTAGGCTAGAGAAAATATTAATTAAACCATAAGGAAGAGAAAACAATATCTTTATGGTATTTATTGGGAAAAAAAAAAAAACCCCCGATAAGTTCAAACCTGTCTTGTTCAGGGTCAGCTGTATTTCAAATAGGTTTATTTTCTTGGAAAAATAACGTAGTTGCTTTCGCTGGGAACCTCTGAAGTGTTGTCATTGTGCGCAGTTGGTGTTAAAATATATACAGTCTTGCACAGTGATGTGCCAGCCTGCGCCAGGCCCCATGAACGGCAGCGGTCCACAGGATGGTGGCGACCCTTTTCATCACCTAGTGACATCATAGCCATCATCACGTCATAGCAGCACGTTTCTCACGTGCTCGTGGTGACGCTGGCGTGAGCAAGCCTGCCCTGCCCATTGTATGAAAGTGCATCACACAGGCATTGTGCACAGTCCGCGATGCTCGGCAATGGTGGTGGTTTGTTAGAGATGACCAGGTGGAAGATGATTCTTTTCAGTATGTGCTGTTTTTTTATGAAATTTCTTCGAGGAAGGCCACTTGCTTAGCGTCCTCGCTTCTCAGCTTTGAAACGTCCATTGTTGATCTCCTAACCTTCACCAACTCTTAACGGCCCCCGTGGCTTTGGGGTCGCACCCCAGGTCCAGCGTCCTTTCTGCGGGACGAGCCTCGCGTCCCTGCTGCCGGCCGCCCCGGTGCCCTGCCCTTGCATCCGACGCTGTGTCACGCCAGGCTTCCGGACAGCTCTGCACCGCACTCCTTCCGGGTCTGGTCTGGGTGCCAGACTAAATGTCAGCAGATTCAGTAAAGGTTCAGCGACGATGAGAATACATGAGCTCATAACATTTTCTATCCAGGGAACCGTAAACCATTTATAAACATGAAATCCTATTGATTTAGAGGACCATTAATCCTAGACAAATTTTGACATTTTGGAAAGACAAAACTGCGGAGCTGTATTATCTGGAGTTCTAAAAACAAGCTCTCAAGACCCATCTAATGGACCATTTTATATTTTATATTCACTGTTCCATTTTTCTGGTTGTCAAAGGCTATAGTATTATGGACAAAATTAAAAACATTGTCAAGAAGTTTGTGACCAGTCACCCTCTGCTCCCCAAACAAAGGACCCGTGTTCTCCCCGCTTTTCCAAAGGCCTGTCTCTGGGTCACGCTGCAGGTCACAGGCCGCAGAAGCAAACCTCATGCACGCACGTCCTGCTCGTCTGGAGCGCGTGGGCTGGAGGCATGGTCCCTGCTCAGCAAGTCGGGGAAAGCGCGGCCCGCAGGGCGTGCGGCCTGTGGGAGCGCGGCCCCCAGCTCGGTCAGCCGGGGCCGTGGGAAGGCAGGGGTCCGCCCAGGCTGCCCCGCTTGACCTCGGGGGCCGAGGAGGCCAGACGAGTCTCCCACAGTTAGGGCTCAGCCGCCTTCGCTCTGAGTGGTCTGGTCATGACTGCCCTGACCATCGCACTGAGTGAGCTAAGGCTCTGCTCCCACCCCCGCTCCGCGGTGGTGCGAAAGCTTTCTAAGCTGTAAGGAGAATTCAGACATCGTTTTAGCCGTATTATCAGTTGACCGACCATTTCGTAATGGGGAGAAGAGCTAACAGTGATCAAGATAATACCAATAAAAGAATTCTTCAACGTGGATATTTAACAAGAAAAACAAGACCCTTGGCGTGGAGCCTGTGAGAGATGGCGTCCAAGAGGGGGTGTTAGGTACAAAAAGTAATCTCATCAGCGCGCTGGGCGAATATGGAAAGTGCGCCCCACAGACCATGACCCCGGCCAGAGCCCCACAGGGCGGGAGCTCTCCGTCGGAGGGCGGGTGCCGATGTCTCCTAGGCCAGCCCCGCAGCCCTGGGCGCCTGCAGTTATTGACTTCCCATTAAGCAACTCCTCGGCAATGCTGGTGGTAGCCAATTTATCACACCAGGAACCATGTAATCCCAGAGAAATCTAATCTGGGTTCTTGTTAACAGAGGGACTCGACTTTATCTGTGGACTTGATTCCTGCCCCCGCTCCTCCCTGACAGAGCAGCCGCAGCAGCAGAGGGGAGTGAGCGGGGTGAACGTCCGATGGGAAGCGCCTGCTGCGGCGACCCTGAGCTGTGCGCCCCGCCCCCACCCCGCCCCTCCCCTCTGCCACTTGCAAGTGGCTGTGCCCCCCGCTCGGGGACGAGGCGTGTGTGCCTGCCGGGCCCTTCGGTGGGGACACCGTGTGTAGCTCCGTGCTGCGCTCTTGCCTTCCGCTGCGGGGTTTTTCTCACGGGCGGGAGCCTTGTGCCCAGGTTACCTCGAGCGCAGACGGCTGGCCAGAGGGGGCAGTGTCCGAGGTTAAGCGTGTGGCCTCTCTGGCTGACACAGCAGGGTCCCTTCAGCCCTGACAGCCAGGCGGCCAGGAGAGAACACCCGCTGTCCTGCTGAGAGTGAAGGAATGAGGGGGACAAAAGCCGCGGGCGCCCCTCCCAGGGCCCTTGGACTCCTCCGTGCACACCACCTCCATGTCGAACGCAGCAGGTGGTCTGTCCAGACAGGGCCTGGGCGTGGGGGGCGCCACCCCGGGCTTTCCCACTGACACCCGAGCGACCCCGGGCGTGGGGACAGGTGCCCTGCACGCCGCCCCTCCTGACGCCGTTGCCCCTGTCTCCGTGGCTGCCACTCCCTCCCCTGCCGGGAACACCGTCCAGGCTCCGGAAGGGCTGGCCACGCCTTGCCTGGTCCCCTGGGAACGCTGCCTCCGCGCTGTGTGGCAGCCCTCTGAAGGCTCCCCCGGCGCCGCCCCCCTCCCTGCTTCTCTGCACTCCCCACGAGTGACTCTTTGTTCCCAGATTTTTTCCTCCTCCATCCCCGGAAATGCAGGGGATGCACGTTAACCGGGGACAGTACTGTCCTTGCCCCCAGCTCCTAAAAATTTGCTGAATTAACGAATGAGCGCGGAGCCTTGGAAGGCGCATGCCCCCGCGTTAGCCCCCTTGCCCTGGACCGCTCTGGTCTGCCCAGCGCTTATCCTGACCCCCCCCCTTTCACAACGAGCCCCCCTCCGCCCGCAGACAATTAGGGCCCTTCCCAGGGCAGCAGTACTGGGCTCGCTCCAGGCAGGATCTGGGGCCCCTCCACGCCATTGGCACTTAATCGGAGGAGATGCAGGCACCTCTTCTGCCCGGCGGACGGCTGGGTCTCTCCATGCTCGGCCCCCGTTCCCTGCCTCCCCCCCGCTCCCCGGCCTCGTTTCGGGAAGAGCCTGCGGGGGGACCTGGCGGAGGATGGGGCTCTCCAGGCCAGTGGCTCCTCTGCTCTGCGCAGGGGAGCTGGCAGCGTCCTGTTGTTTGTTCCTCTCACTTGTCCTGCGGGTGCTGCCGAGTTCGGTCAGGGGCAGCGCTCCGCTGCTGTGCAGTTTGGACCGGCCTCCGCCGACTGGTTCCGCACCGGCTTACCCGGCGGGCGAGCAGGCAGGGGAGCGTGTAGGTGCCTCCCGAGCCTGGGCTCCTGGCCTCATGGCCTCTTAGGGCTCGGCCAGGGGTTTACCCAGCGCCTTGCAGCCTCCGGGGTCGCGGGCCCAGCAGCATCCAGGAGGCAGGAGGCTGCAGGCGGTGCCACCCACGCCCTGCAGTGCAGTCCAGTGTTGGTAACCCTCTGTCAAGGGGACACCTGCTCCTGCTGCACGCTGTTCCCCGGGAGGGCGGGGAGGCCGTCTGGAAAAAGTCCTGACTGTCCAGTTCCGCAGCGTGAGTGTGAAGGGCTGGAGCCCAGCCAGCCTCGCCTGGGTGAGGTGCGCCCCCCTCTTCCGCCTGAGCCAGAACGCGGCTGCAGACTGTGCCGGGCGAGGGCTGCTGGGCCATGGGCAAGACCCTGGGAGCCCCGGCCGCCTGCTCTTCTAGCTTCCCTTTCCCTGCCTGCAGCCCACTTCGCCGCCGCACAGCCGAGCCCCCTGCCAAGCGCTTTGCGAGGAGAGCTCTGCGTGACCCCGCGGCAGCCTACCCGCCTGCCATGGCACCATCCTGGGGATGGGTGATTACAGCGACGTGGTGTGGGTTCGATGTCTTTGGATTGTCTTTTTCTCTTAAAAATGCAAGGTTTACGTGCAGGGATTTTCTTCCAAAATTATTGTCCTGTGCACTTCAAACAAATCTGCCCCGAGTCTCAGGCCGCTCCGTCAGCTGGCACCTGAGCGTCACCGCCTCCGGGAGCCCCTGGCAGGCTCTGTAGTAACACTTCCCGCGCCACTCCCTGAGATTTTGCAGGGGCGTGTCGCTCTGGCTTACTGCAGCGGCTGCACCAGTTGCTGATGCGCCTGTAAATACGTGGGCCCTGCCGCGGCTTCCTTAGCAAGCTGTCGCTGAGTCCTCAAGTTAACTTCAGGGGAATGCATTCAGAACACCCCTTTCTCCCACGCCCTGTGCATAGCAGATGAGAGTTAAAAGGAGGAGAGAAATCTCGGAGCTCGCCGGCCCTGACCCAGGGCGGCGTGGCATGGCGTGGCGGGCGGCGGCACGGTGGCCTCTGTGTTTCATTCCGTGTGTGTGAATCAGAGCGCAGAGTCCACGCGCGCGAACTGGCTGTGATGGGCTCACGCTCCGCCCCGTGGGTAAATCACCTCGCCTTTAGGGCCTCCTGGCGCATGACATGATGCCGGAGGGGCGCCTCC